GCTGAATGCTGAGCAGGTGTCTGCGTGCTGTGATGACGTCTGCTCCCTTCTGTGTTTTTTCTTTCCCCTTCAATTGCAGATCATACACGACCGGGGCAGCTACAGTTTCCTGGTGTGTGGGATGATCTTTGGAGGCTTGGCCTTTACCTTCTACGCTTTCCTCTTGTTTTTCCACAGGATGTACCCCAAGCCCTCATCAGGTAAGAAAGCACCAGCCCTCAGCCCCGCTTTATAATGAGAGGAAGAGTGGCATATGCAGCAACACACAACCAGGGTGCAGCACTTCAGCAAAATGCAAGGAAATGTTTATTTTACTGCTGCTTCCTGTCCCCTCTTCCTGCTTTGGCTTGCTCATAAAGCCTTGGCAGCCACGACTCAGGGTTTGCTTTCTGTTGGAGAAACAAGGGGAAAAAGTAGGAATGGTGTGTGGATCACAGAGGAACTATAAACGACAGAGGAGGCTAGCTGTGAGCACTGCCGCGCTGCTGCAGAGCCAGCAGGATTTCAGTCCTAGCACAAGCTTCCTTACACTCTTCCCTGGCTAAAATCCAGGGAACAAGTGGGTCTGCCAGCCAAAGGCAGCTGTCAGGCTCCTGAGAAAAGCCTTGCTGGTAAAGGGTTGCTCCTAGTATCACCTCGCTCTGCAATTGCTGTTTTTGTAAGCGCCCCTTACAAAAGGAGCACTGCCTGACAGGCAGAAAACCTTGCCCAGGTTACTGGAAACGGGCTTTTCCTCCCCAAGCAGTGAAGGAGCCAGTGTGGTGGGTTATGGAATAGCAGCATCCCTGCCTGGAGAGCTCACCCACGTTCCCCAACAGCTTGATGTTCAGGGCAAGTACCTAATACCGATTTTGCAGATGCAGATGAGGCCTCGCCCGACAAACCCACAGTAACGGACGACACTGGACAGTATCAGCGCTAACGAAGCGGCCGAGCCCTAGACAAGCAATAAACCCATGCCCCGTTCAGCATTTCTCCTACGGATGATTTCGCATTTAAGGACTGAATCATGCAAGTTTTCTGCAATCAAAAGCACACTCGAGTGGGTAAGTCAGAACACCCGGAACCACTGCGCCCCGCGACGCGCCAGTCGCCCGTGTCACACGCACCAAAAAGGAGACTCTCGGCCTCAGAGCGACCCCGTGTCCGACGGCTGCGGTGTGGGGCAGGGATGGCAGGAGAACTGTTACTCCTGCAAGCGAACTGCGCCGAATCGTGGTGGAGGGTGGGAAGGAAAAAGTTCTCTTTGTTCCGTACGTAAAAGACACCGAGTATCTCCTGGCTTAGTCCTCGTACCGAACAGATTTTTCCTTTGGCCTGCAAAGCACAGAACCTTTACAATTTACAGCACAGTGCTGGGTTTAATTCATTTCTGTGCAACACTGGCTGGAGCACATGCACCTCCAGGCGGGCTTCCCAGGGGGAAAAACGACACGCGTGGTAGAGGCTGCCAGGCGCAGAGCGGCAGCAGGCCTGTCTGTATCTGCGGAGTTGACTCTGGTCTGCGACACCGCAGCGGACGTGCTCCCCGAGACACTTACACAGCATGCTTGGGCCTCTCGAGTATTAAAAATCATTAGCTTCACGGTTTGTTTTTTTTTTTTTTAGAGTCAAGAATCAGTTGTGATCATTTGTTTTGCTTTAAGTCACTAGTTTAGCTGCTACAGTCGCAGTGTCTTTTTAAGGTGGTTTTATTTCCAGCTTCCAGTTGAAGCTTAAACTGAGGTATTTGGGAGCCAGCCTCCAGCTGCTTAACCCGTGCAATACTTATCAGACAGGTGCCTTCCGTAAGGTACTTTTATACCCACGCATGGCCCATGGCAAGCTATGAAGACAGGACCGGCTTTAGAAGGGGGTAAAGCTACATACATCTGTTTTTTCAGCGAGCGAGCAGACGTGCACCTTTTGCTTTATCTGCTGTACGTGGATGTACATATGTAGGTGTGTATATAGAGCAGTGTTTAATTAAAGGTGATTGATTGCTATTCTCAGCGTGACTGGACTCGCGTAATGTAAGCTGTTTCTGACCAAGACCATCAGCTACTCCCTTTGCTTGTTCCAGCTTTCAAACTCACTCGTGAGAGCTGTTGGAGTGCAATTCAGCATTTCTCTCTTTCCAAGCAGCGGGTCTTCCCTTCCGTAAAGCATCTTCCCAAGTGGTTCTGTAGGAACGCTCTGGAGAGCAGACTCGTTGACGTCGTACGCCTAAAGCTGCGTGCAGAGCAGCAGGGAGGTGAGTGCAGTTGAACCTTGGGTTTAATTCATCCACGGACTTCAGCGCCCTCCCATCGCGTGGAGTACGTGCTGTACTTCTCTAGCACCACGGGATGCCACTGTTGCTCTCCTTGAGATACCCAGAATGAAAAAAGCGAGGTACTGCAAAGCCCATGTGCAGCGAACCCCCGCATCTGTCATTAGCAGAGTTCCTCCCACCCTAGCAGCTTCCTCCCTAACCTCTCCTATGACGAAAGGCTGCAAGAATTGGGCTTGTTCAGCCTGGAGAAGAGGAGGCTCCGAGGAGACCTCATTGCAGCCTTCCAGTATCTGAAGGGGCTACAAGGGTGCTGGGAGAGGACTTTTTACAAGAGCCTGTAGTGACAGGACAAGGGGTAATGGGTACAAATTGAAATCAGGGAGGTTTAGATTAGATGTCAGGAAGGAATTCTTCCTGCAGAGGGTGGGGAGGCACTGGAACAGGTTGCCCAGAGAAGCTGTGGATGCCCCATCCCTGGGAGTGTCCAAGGCCAGGCTGGATGAGGCTTGGAGCAACCTGGTCTAGTGGAAGGGGTCCCTGCCCATGGCAGGGGGGTTGGAACTAGATGATCTTTAAGGTCCCTTCCAACCCTAACCATTCCGTGATTCTATGATTCCCTCCCCGTATGGAAGAAATGAGCACGAAACAATACGAGGGAGTTTAAGTTGGAAGGAGTCTGCTCAGGTGACGTAAACCTCACACCAGGGCCGGTCAGCTACTAAAACCAATAGATCATCTGGGTGTCCGTGCGGAGCGGTACTGCGAGCTAAATGCTACGGCGGTGCCTTGGCTAAAAGAGAACTTAGTTCCACGGCCACTGCTCGGGTCGGCTCTGTACGTGGAAAGCAGCTACTCACCGCCGGAGCTTTTCACCAGAACAGCACCCGATCTGGCACAACCACCGTGCAGCACGCCGGTCTGCCAACGGCACCTCCCTCGCCGTCCCCGTTCAAGCCAGGTGCGGGAGCCAGCAGTGCTGCCAGCAGACAGGTTAGCTCAAGGTGCGGGGAGCCCCCTCGCCATCAGAACTGCAGCTGTAACTTTCCATTTCCTCTACCGAAAGAAACAGTCAGAAGATCAGAAACTTTGTTAAAAATATTTATTTAAAAAAATACAGTTGTTTTGCATGTCTGGTTGCACATAACTATTAACATATGATTGACTTGAATAATTTGCTACAATGCTTTTTTTTAAAGCCAGCTTGCATTATACAAAGCAAATCCCTCTGTCAGTTCTTACATAAAATAGTTTTCTTTAACTATTCCCACCCCATTTTTAAAAAAGATTGCAATACATTGATTTTTTTTTTTTTTTGCACAAAAATTGAAGCAATAGAAAAGTCACCTGATTCCTCAGGAAAGACCTTCGTTACGTTTGAACGGCGACTGCCAACACGCCACTCTCAAAGCAGCATTCGTTACCTTGAAGGGTCGTTACGGTGCGCTTCCTCCCAAGGAGGTTTTGCATCTTAAAACTTTGCCTCCAAATCGGGTTCACAAGCCTGAAATGTGTTCAATATCTGCAATAATCAAGTTGATCAGACTTGTTTGTTTGTTTGAATATATCAACACGCTGAAGGTCTTCCTAACATGTTATCTTGGAAGGATAAATAAAAGCAAATTTAGTAACACTGAACAATTACTGAAAACTTTGGCTATTTAAGTACTTGCATTACATACCAGCATTTTTTTACACAATGGCATTAAGATACTTTTATTATAAGGTCTTATTTCAAAAAAAAAATCAAGACTGAGAAGCTATTCTCTCCCAGGCAAGTTTAGCCAACTGCAAGGAGAGCACCAAAGCGGTGTAAGGTTACAGCTGTCTCTAAAATACCACGTCTAGAGGATGTCTCTGGTGTAGGAAGTTAGACACTCACTACAACATAACTTGGTCTCTTGATTATATATACACACATATATATATGTGTGTATATATATATTAAAAAAAATGCAATTCTGTTCTGGAAAGAGTAACTGAAAACGTTCTCTCTGCTCCTTTCAATGTAATTTTTACCACTGATGGTTCTACTAAAATGACAGGAACGTAAACTGGAACCCACCCCACGGTTAAAGGGTAAAGGGACTGTCGCGACGGTATGCTTGGTCTGCCCCAAGCAGATCTCAGAGCTGCTGTAGTACGAAAAAACACCGCCGACACCATTGTGCTGGCTTGCAAAGAGGGCAGGTTAACCTAAAAATTCAGTGGAGGAGTAAACACCAAGGGTGTCAGAAAGCCGCTCTCCAAAACAGATGTGCACTTCAAAAACAAATAGAACAAGCTGTCACCCGTTGCTGATGAGGTCGCTTAAGTTTTCGGAAATTTAACTTAAACTTCCCTCCCCTGACTCCATCTGAGCCCCCGACAACAACCTCCGGGGACCGGATTCTCCGCCGGTGTCAGCTGGACCCGTGGCAGCGACGCCAACAGATCTGCTCCGATTTACAAGCTTCTGGCAGACGAGTCACATCTGCCATTGGCTCGCCCCAAGATTCTCAGAATTCCCAAGACAAAGTCTCCTGCTCCTTAATGATCCCTACTCACTCTTCTCAGTCCCAGATTAATTCCAGCTGTCCTAATATACATCCGAGGAGACAACCACTACCCTTACCATACATGTTGCTAATTTTTTCCCATTTATTCATCTCTATTATTAAGAATATACTTCTCAGCTATAAAAACAGAGGGGCAGGGGGAGATAAGCATTAAATGTGCTACTGTACTTATCACAAAACACTGTGACGTACATAAGGCCATCTGGTAACACTGCAACAGAATACAAACAGGATTTTAAAAGGGAGTTTTAGAATACAATTTCTTTTTTTCTTCTTTTTTTTTTCAACTACAATGAATAATCTCAACCCTGTTCACAGAGAATCAACGTTAAAACTAGTACATCATATATAGAAAACTCTGTGCAACTGAACAATGGCAGAACAAAAAAAAAGTCAACACAATTCTATAAAGCAGTATCAAAGCCTGAAGATTTAAGACATGCTAGCCCAAAAAAAAAAAAAACAAAACCCAACCAAACCACAACACATCTCAAGGAGCCTAGAGCAAACCCAGGTATTGTAACCCCCCCCAGCACACAGCACACACTAGGAACCATGCAGAGGCCGTCCTCAAAGCCTTCCTGTGTTGAAAAATAAAAGGAAAATTAATAAAAAAAACCAGAACCCCAAACAAAAAAAGAGTAAAAAACAGCTTCCAGTTATTGGTACAGCGCTGCTGCATGTACTGCCAAAGGGCTGAAACGGGCTCCGAGCACGACGCCTTCCACCTCCCCTCCCCTCCGTGCGCTGCTTGCACTTCCAGTGGCTCCATTAAAGCTCGTCATCATCCTGTTCCACCCCCTGCCAAACGCCCTGCTTTGAGATGAAAACCCTCTGCAACGCATGGTCTCAGCAGAGAAACAAGTGCTTGAAGTAAATCCAAACGTTCGTTCCGTAAGACGATTCAAAGACACGTTTAAGACACTTTGTTTAGAAGATGCAGCCTACAACAGTGTCAAAGATGCATTTAAAAATAACCTTTGGCAACTCACTTTCCACGCCGTGGTGTAATTGATTGGAGAACTAAAAAAAAAAAAAAACCACAACCACAAACCAAAAAGCCCCGGAAAACCTCACCAGCGCGTGCAAAACCTTCCCAGGTGGCAACTGCAG